TCACAAGCATAAGTAATCAAATAATATTTTTCATGACATACATACACTGGTCATACCTTAAACTACCCAGACTAAGTCTTTTACCTTTAAGACAACAAAATTAAAGAGATTACGTGATCCATGGTTCTAAGCTTATATACTCCTATATCTGAAATTTGATCTAATAGTGTTCATGTTGTCCTCGATCACACTTCAAAATGAATACTTTCATTTCTATGCATCAAAATCCAATATGTTTTTCTTTCATTACTTAATCATCTGCAAAATCAACTAGGACCTATAGCCTAGGTTCTGATACCATTCTGTCACGACCCCAAATTCCAAACCTAAAAAGAATATTGGAGTCGGACTAAACTTGTGATGAATCCTCCAAAATATGCATTCATTAAAAGACCATCAAAATAATCTCTTCATTGAACTAAAACCAACAATAAATATTCTCTGTAATCCCAAAAATCAACATTAATCCATTTAACTTGATATGAACAAATATTCCTCAAGTTGAAATAAAACTCGACCTAAAGGAAAGAAATCTTGTAATTACACGACTCTCAATTCATCAACTAAACATCAAGACTTTATTTAACCTTCACCTAAAAGATAATAACAATCCTGGAATTTTATTCCTTGCTCCGTTCTATGAATTTGGCAAATCCTCAATTCCACCTAATCCCGTGTCTCTGAAAAGAATGAAAACAACACAATGAGTTCACAACTCAATAAGTGGATAAATTCATACATTAAACACTGGTTTTGCAAAACTAAAATAAAGTTACTGGGATAGAGAATCATCAATGAACTCTAGTACTTGATGTAAATATTTAAGGAAATTTAGAAATCATAAAATGGAAATAAACAAACTACGTCTCAATGCGGTCAACACTTCATACTCCGGTTGACTCGGTAAACCCCACAATTATTAAGCCCGTGGTTCCGGAATGGTGAGACCCAAATTTGGGCTCTTAGCGCTAAAATAAAACCTCATAGAGGCACATTGAGCCCTGTTTTAATAACTTGCTTATATACGACATATACCGTTATATTGACTCGAGATGCATATGTTTAAAAAAAATGAACAAAGTTCATATAACCAAGTATGTTATACAAAAATACCAAAGGCCAACCAATAGTGAAATCAATCAACCACATATGCATTTCAACCTACTATATGAAAATACATAATAATTGATAGAGAAAATAAGCATAAGCTTATACCAAATAACCACGTGCATTCATCCAATCAACAATTAGTATGCAAGCAACCATCCAAATGGTATAATCCATCAGGAATAAACTTACATATAGTCAATATAATTTTATATGAAAAATACGCAGCGAATAATATACAAATTCACCACTTACTATAAATCCAAAGATAATCCAGCTACTACTTACAATACTTCCTCGGAATTTTGTGGAATCCCTAAATACGGCATACAAAATAATCATCAATATAGTCATCTCACTAATTATAATACATAACACATATCAAATCATTTAATACGACTATAGTATAACAACAACTTAGTACCTCAATTGTTATAGCTTTGACATAATAATTATTTTAACAAATCATGACTAATCCACACAAGGAGACAAAAGAGCAATTTTGATTGCTCCATTTATGCAACGTGTAGGTATGTTGCTAAAATTAATTAGTGATGTTAAGATGAGGATTAAATAAAGGTAAAGCTTAGATTTGTTTGTCTACCTTTCCTCCCAGGTACGCACTCCCTCTTGAAGTTGCTGTCCGGTTCTTTTTTTTCTTTTTTCTTTTTTTGAGAGAGGCCAAAGCGGAAGCCGCGGAACAGAGACGAGAAAGAAGAGAAACGGCTGATGGAATCAGGTTCTTTTTTTTCTTTTTTCTTTTTTTGAGAGAGGCCAAAGCGGAAGCCGCGGAACAGAGACGGGAAAGAAGAGAAACGGCTGATGGAATCAGAAGTTGGGTAGGGTTTGTGGGGTATTTATAAGGCTCTTTTTGCTATTAGAACCCTTTAATAACTTTTGCATAAAAGTCCTTATACTTTTCCTTATATATATTTATCTAAAAACTTAGAATTATTACAATTGTAGTAAACCCACCACTAGCTTCTGCATGGATTTTTCTATTCAACCCATCTGCCTTTATAATACCAAAAACTTTCCACATGGGTTTATACAAACCAAGCAAACTACAAGCAGAAGAATAGTGTGAGCCCTAACGAGTAGGTCGTCTCAAAGTAGTCTGCTGATTACCTCCAGTACTTGTTTGTAATTCATCTATTTCTATTAAATTTTTAACTTCTTCCCTTTGTGCAGCTCTTAGTTAATTCCGCTTAGGAGAAACACGAACCAAATTCACAATGCAATTCAACATCTGAAAGAATAACTCAATGCCAGATAATTCGCCTGATGCTGCAACTAATGCAAGTTGTAAGCAGTGGGAAGCAATGAACATAGTATGCATATGGACATTCTTGCAAAAATAAACTTTGTAACCCACTCCATGCACCTCGCATATTGCTAGCTTTATCATAACCTTGTCCTCTTATATTCTGTACAAGCAATCCGTTACAATCAAGTATAAGTGAACACATCTTTTCGAGAGTTAGTGTGGTAGTGTCTTCAACCCCTATTACATCAAAAAACCTCTCTAATAAAACCATATGCATCAACAAATCTTAACACGATAGCCATTTGCTCACAATTGGATTCATCTCGAGATTCATCAACTAAAATACAAAACTTAAAATCACCAATTTCTTTACAAATCTTTTTCCTCACTAAGTCACCCATAATTTCCATAATCTGATTTAAACCATCGGTGAAGTATAACTAGCATTCCCGGGAGCATTTTCTAAGATAACCTCTGCAACTTGCACATTAAGAGTTGCACTATATTTAAGCAATTCAATAAAGTTTCCACGATTTGCTGAATCAAGAGATTCGTCATGCCCTCGAAGAGCACATCCTTGACATGCTAGCCAACGAGTAGCATTAATCGTAGTGACAACACGCAAACGATTTTTCTTTATTTCAGCTTCATCTTGTAAGGTCAAATGTTTCTTAATGTTTTGAGATGACTTTTTCAAAGCATCAAGCATTAAAACATTTTATGAATGTATTGATCATGTTTCTCCTTCATGCACTCGAAGATGACTATCTTTTCCTCCAGCTCTCTTCCAACTATTAAATCCTTTCGAAGTCCAAGCTTCTTGTTTATGTTGTTGGGTGGAATTGCTCTCAAAAAGAAAACAAGGAAAGCAATATGCACGGTCAGTTGTTTCAGAATATTCTAACCAAGCATAAGTCTTGAACCAATCATGTCGAAAGCTACGTCTGTCTTCATTTCTTGGATATTCTCGGAGATTTGGTTGGCATGGCCCTATTGCTATGTAACGACGTCGAACCTCATCTTGTTCTTTATATGGATATTTTCATATTGCTTGACGTAATCCTGGATCATAAGATACTGTATCCTTGACCTTTTAAATTTTGGGAGGATGTTGCTCTTCTTCTTATCATCAACTGTTGGCTCCGTAGGCAGTCTCTTGCTTGAGGCTCCAAAAATGTCTTTTTTGGAATAAAATGAAAATAAAGTTTTCATTCTCTTTCCAAACATTTTAGCTTCAAATTTTAATATATTGTGATTAGGATATTAAAAGATTTCATGCATTAAGAAGCATATTAAAAGATTATGATTAGGATATCGAAATTGCTAATGACTACCTAGATAACATCTTAGTCTATAAACTAAAATAATTAACCGGGTCCATTAGTCAATCAGATTAAGGAAGGAACCATCTATTTGAAAAGAGATCTATTCGTTAGTGGCATTTGAGTAATTAATTATTGGAATCGTTAGGGCTAGGGTTTGGGGGAGGGTGAGGGAGCTGGAGGAGGGCTGAGGGTGTACCAGTCGAGGTAGTTGTTGACGCGGTGCTGGGTGGTGAGGAGGATGTCGGTGAGTCGGCGACGACGAGGATTTGGTCGGGGCGGTCGTCGGAGCGACATCGAGGCTCAAGCGGTCGAGGGCTTGCTCTGGGAGGCGAGGAGGACGTCGGACAGTCGAGGTGGTTGTTGACGCGACGCTGGGAGTCGAGGAGGACGTCGATGATGGCGAGGAAGTGGTCGAGGGCTTGCTCTGGGAGGCGAGGAGGACGTCGGCGACGGCGAAGATTTGGTCGGGGCGGTCGTCGGAGAGCTTGGGAGTTGGGATCGGCAGTCGGCGAAGCGCTTGGATCCAAGTTCCAACAAGGTCGCGGGCGAGGGCGAGAGAGGGCTCAGAGGGGTATTAAAAAAATTTTCATTTTCTTGTCCTGGGCAGCTCCGTGCACAACTACGCCTCTGCTTTTAGTAATTGATGCACTCATTCAAATAGTAGTCATTGATAAAGGCCGGTTAAGATAGCATCGTAGCATTGAATCTGAGTTTCACCACAAATGTCAGATTTACTACCTGGTGTTTTTCTTTCATGAGCTTGTGCCATTTCATTATGTGAATATATGGTGATCTTTCTTGTTTTTTTCCTTTTAGACTATATGATTTAAGGAATTTAATCATCCCTTACCTGATAAATCTACCTTTTCAGAAGTGTGTTGAATTCAAATGTGGCGACACCGTTATTAAATCTTGCATGCTTGCGTTGTTTCCGCCTCTGATTTCTCTGGTAGTCATATTCTAATGCACTCCTAGACTACACATGAACTTGCTCATTGTGGATCTTGACTACCAGAGAAATAGGTAAATTAATAAACAAGCTAATGCCCATGGATGCCACTACATTTGTTTCTAGTTGAAGTCATGATTTATTTAGCTGCGAAATTGTGATAGAAATGTTTTAAGTTATAAAAGATACTTCTGCTTCAGAGAGTTGAACTTTTATGGATAAAATAGTTGGGTAATCACAATTCAATGGTGTGAGGTGTTTGGTACTATTATTTCTAATTTTACCATTAGGTTATTATCTATAATTCATTTGTAACCATTGAATCTTGAGATGTTTGTTCTAATGTTTTCAGGTTGGAATGGAGAGTGAGGGTTTTGCTATATACGATGCCATGATGCAGCTAAAGAACGAGGTGGTTGAATTTCATTTATATATTATTTGCAAGTTTATTTTGGATCTTAGCTTGTTACATAACTTAGATTTAGTGCAATATGTTGTGATGTTCCAGTGTTTGTTTCCATTTGTCCTTTGACCATAGTATGCATATTTCCTCCTTTGATCTACTAATGTGGATTTATTCTGGTAAGATCATCCTGCTATTGATTATCTTCAACACTAATTCCCATATTTAGTTTTAAATTATTATGTGGCACTGATGGATGACAAGACAACTGTTCCTTACAAACCTCGAGTTATTAAGGATTAATCCAGGGTGGCCTTGGCAATGTTCCTTGGGAAAATTAATTGGAATAATTTGAGTGGAAAGTGTCATGCTTGAACTACCTAACAAGTGGTTGCAGTGAGTTTAAAACAGTACAAATCTAGAACCATCCTCTTATCTATCAACATAAAGGTTGCAGTGAGTTTAAAACAGTACAAATCTAGAACCATCCTCTTATCTATCAACATAAAGAACCACTATGAGGGTGGAGTTGTACTCATACTTTTAATCTAGAACCATCCTCTTATCTATCAACATAAAGAACCACTATGAGGGTGGAGTTGTACTCATACTTTTAAGTTTTGACTAAAATAAAACTCAGGTTTCAACCAAAATGGCTCAGGCTCCATGGGATGGATAGGCTAGGGTAAAAACTGTTTGGATATTATGGGTGAAGAAGATATGTTGATACTTGGAGCTGGGATGAAACCCCAGCCTTTGCTCATCATTGCCTCTTCAAGCACCACCATTAGATAGGAGATGTTTCTCAGATATTGGGGCTGCCTAAAACCCAATAGTCTAGTTGGTCCTTTCTTTGGCCTTGGCAAAGGTGTTTCTCAGATATTGGGGCTGCCTAAAACCCAATAGTCTAGTTGGTCCTTTCTTTGGCCTTGGCAAAGGTCCTTTCCTTGGCCTTGGACTGCCTAAAACCCAATAGTCTAGTTGGTCCTTTCTTTGGCCTTGGCAAAGGTCCTTTCCTTGGCCTTGGAAAAGAAATGTATGCCCTCTAATTCTGTTGCTATTTCAAAACCACATAAATCATTTTGATATTTCATATTACTCATGCTGATTCTGTTCTATCTTCAGATCCAGACTGTAGCTGTTGGAGCTGCAATAGGCCAGGCCTGCTTACTTCTGGCGGCTGGGAAGAAAGGTAGACGATTTATGATGCCTCATTCGAAAGGTATATTTCTGTTTAAGAGCATTAATATGATAAAATTTTTAATTATCTACATGGTGGCGATTATTCTTGAACATGTGAAAATTTGTCTTGATTACAGCCATGATTCAGCAGCCTCGTGTCCCGTCATCTGGGCAGATGCCAGCAAGTGATGTTCTTATTCGAGCAAAAGAGGTTAGTTCTTCTCTGATTTAAATTTTCTGAGTCAATTGACCCCCTCAATTTTGATATTAAGGAAAAAATATTTCATTCAAAATTGCCATTTGGTAGGTGTGTATCATTTGTTTCTTGTTGAAAATGACATAGTATGATGGCTCTTGACTCCACCGTTTCCACTCAATAAATAAATAAATAAATAATATGATGACATTTCTGACAATCTCTATGTAGATCTAAGTGGTGAAAGTTGAAGGAAGAGGACTTAGGGTAGGAGGTTATAAATTGCCCAATTTTTGAAGGTCATGGTAAATTTCCATAAAGCTAGCAAGGGTCTTGGATTATTATATGGTTGTGATCAACAAAATTAATTAAGTTCACAAGGTATCAAGAATCTTGTTTAATAAGCTGGAAGTTCCTGATGGTATCCAAGGATCCGGAAGGAACAATATCAACCATGTATTTCAAACTAAAGCATCTGTTCATTGGGCAAGGTATTTGACCATTTATCTTCCATCTTTATCATGTTGGGGTGGTTATTCTTACACCGTGCATCAACCAGATTCAAAATAAGAATCATCAAATTCTTGCTTATGGTTTCTGGGCGAGTTAATTTAGGTCTGCCCCTATCTTTTCTAGCCTTAAGAAACTAACAAGACCACGCGGCCTTAGTGGAATCTTCCTTCTGTTTCTGTGAATCCTATTCAGTTGTCTATCACTTAAGCCTTTAGCTAATGCTACTTCTGCATTGCTACTTGTGTTTATTCCTGAGCCCTTTTTTCTTGGTAATGATATGGCTGTTCATGATATCCCAGTGAAATTTTGTACTGAAAGAAACTAAATGTTTGTTCACATAGATAATAAGTCCTTCCCATCCAAATATACAATCAGATAAAAGCACAGTTACCTAGATATTCTCATCAGCCAACTACATGATATAGTATCTACCACCCCAAGTCATTAGAAAAAACCTAAGAGAATCAAATATGGGTCTTCTTTCAAAAATAATGACCTCTGCCAATCAACAGTGCACGCGCGCAGAGGAGGGATAATCAGTGCAACCCCATTACGATTAGGCAACATGACCTGATCCAAAAAAACCAGCAGGGTCTTTGCCTGCAGATTCTTCGTCAGCCACATTTTTAATCGCATTGCATCTTCTCTGTTAAAATCTCCACATCATCCAAAGTACTTCATTTAGTGGCAAGGACTCAACGAGCAGCTACACCCTCCAATCCACCAGTGGAAAATTGTTGCTGATTCCAGTCTGGAAAAATTCCCTCATTCCTGACCTTGTTTTTCATCATTTTACAATTCATTCCTGACGTTTTTCATTGTTTTACAATTACTGCTTTCAACATATCTCATTTCTGCTCCATTTCTCATTTTTGCCAACATCCACCAACATTTTTAGTTACAAGTCTGCTAGATTTACTTATGTTTTAGAAATGAAAAATATAAATTTATCACATAGGTCCTCCTCGAATGTTTCTCAAAATAAACCACCACACCCAGTACTTCTGTAAAGAAATTTCTTTCTACATCTTTTTACTTTTGTTTAAAGATCCAAAGATAACAGGAACAGTCTGACTGGAATTCGTTCACCATTGATTTTGGAATTGGTGTAATCCTCATTTTAGTTCCACTAACATTGGGATTGCATTATGTATAACTGGATATCTTTTTGTGACAATAACAAATCCTTCCCACCAGTTTCTATTCTCATCTGCATATAATGGACCATGGCTCTTTCCACGTTATCAAGTGAGACAAATTTTCATTTGAAAACTTGCCTTAATCTCCTTTAAACAGACTTCTAGCTTAATGGCCAATTATTTCCCTCCTCGGTACTCTTATCATGTGGGTTTGGATCAAGTTGATAACGAGTTTGAAATTTTGGAAGATCTGTAACGAAGTCTTGTTCTCCTTTAAATAGACTTTGTTGGTAAGCATTGCATTAGATAATTCCTGTACAAAGTATAGACATTTCACATAATCTTGGTTGTATGAACTTTCATCCATGATATATGTTACCAGATTATTGCTTCCTCATAAAGCAGGCATCTTAGGGCATGTTCGGTTAATACTTAAGTTTATGAAACTTTAAAGTTACTTATTACTTATTTTTACCATCAATAAGTAAACCTCCTTATACGTGCCAAGAAAATAAGTTGGAAAATCCCAACTTTATTTTTTTTCCTACTTATAAGTTAAAAAAGGGAAAAAAGTAGCATTTACCAAACATGATCTTGAAGACTCACAAGGAAAATGCACTTATAAGTTAAAATGTGCTACTTCCCAAGCATGCTCTTAGTTTTGTTCAAGAAAATAATTCTAGTCACAATACTATCCATCGGTCTCAAACCTTATTTACAAGTAATAGAATTGATGTTTTAGGTAATATTTCTTTTTTTTCCTTTCCTGCTCAAGTTGCCAGTCTTTTACTCAGTCAATTCTATTTGTCAGCGTGACTTGATGATCTCCTTGTTAAATGTTTTTTGTTAGGAACAACAGTGTTACTGAAAGTCGGGTTCTATGTTTTCTACAGGTTATAACTAACAGAGACACACTTGTTAAACTTCTAGCAAAGCACACTGGAAATGTAAGTGTAAACAAACATAAGTTTATACTGGTCATAGCATCAACTTTTAACCAATATCTGATTAGACTGTTGATTAGTCTGTGGAAGAAGTATCCAAGGTGATGCGGAGACCATTTTATATGGATTCGATGAAAGCTCAGGAGTTTGGTGTCATCGATAAGGTAATTTAGTTTTTTGGTTGGTTTTGCTCATAATGCATCTGTTCATACTTTGATAGTCTAAAAGATAATAAGTTGGCTTGAACTCATGTATGGTGGTAGTATATAGACCAAGTAATGTGAAACCTTAGTTTCTTTTTTCTGGTTTAAGAGGAAAAGAAATCTTGGGTTGATCTTGTTTTCCTGTGGCAGATACTTTGGCGTGGTCAAGAGCAGATAATGGATGATGCTGCTTCTCCTGAGGAATGGGACCGGAAAGCTGGAATCAGAGTTGTTGAGGGGATTTGATTTGCAGATACTTGGAAAAACTTTGGTACACTTCTTTTTTCCTTTTCTTTTACTTATTTTCTCCGTTCTTTTGGATTTTGTGGAGAAAATAGAGAAGACAAAGTTATTATTTCATCTAACCCTAATCTATGTTCAATAGAGATTAGAAGGGTTACCTAAGTGGATATGGATATTGGCCCAATAATACCTAAATAGTTAAACGTGCGATATTGTCTAACATTCCCTCTCAAGTTGGAGTATATATATTATGTATGACCAACTTGTTACGTATGAGAACAAAACAACTACTTAATCTAGATTAGGGTTTTGTAGGGCTTTTTTATCGAGGTTCAACAAAGATTAGTAATCACATGATGTAGAAGCCAAAGATGTTGTCAAAACTGCCGAGGGGAGCACGAAGGCCATACGAAACCCCCTCAACGGCCTCGGAATCTAGAAAGATGAGAGAGGTTGCTAGGGTGGAGTTGGCTCTGATATCATGTAGAGAAAATAGAAAAGACAAAGTTATTGTTTTATCTAACCCTAATCTCTCTTAAATAGAGATTAAGAGGGTTACATAAGCGAATATGGATATTGGCCCAATTACCTAAATACCTAAATAGTTAAACATATGATATGATCCAACAGGTTTATCAAGGTCATTATATGGCAACTCTTGCAAATTTGAGTTAAGATGGCACAATGATAACCCAGAGATTTTGGTATATTTTTGCAGGCTCTTAGTGGACATAAGGATATACAGTAAGAGCTGATTAAGCATCTAATGTGGTATAGATGGCAAGCTAATGCAATGATGAGATGTTGCAAGAGGACAATGCACGGCGATGGAGTAAATTTATGGAAAAGCAGCCTGTGGTCGATAGTAGAATACATAAATCGACGTGTTAAATGGGTTGCAAAGCTTGTAAAATGAGAAGTGTATGTTAATTTATACCCCAGATGAAGGGGGATAAAAAGCTCTTTAACTTTTGTGAGTATCATTGTAGAGAATTTACAGCACAATGATAGATAATTAAATGCAATGTTTAAATACAGGGAGGGAACTGCGTTATTACCAAAGCACAAAAAGTCTGTTATTGGTTTGATGTGAGCTTACTGCGCATACATCTGAAGGATTATTTACCGTGATGTCAGGTCAACTATATTCCCTCAGTTTTGGTTCCTCTTAGAAGGATATTATTCAATTTGCGATAACAATCCAGCTAAATTACAGAAAACGTACTATTATAATAGTTAAACTAATGTGTTAATCTTTCACCTTTAACCCTTCTATGTTCATCCCCTTTGCAGCAAACTATTGTACTTGTTTCATTATAGAAAATTATGATGATTTATCTTTAATCTATGCTAAGGTAATCTGTTGTATCTTCTGTAGAGAAGTTCATGGCATCCCCATGGTCACAAAGTGGTCTTTGCATGATTCCATAAGAAAATTCAACTAAAACTTTTGGATGAACAAGATTATCATCCTGATGTTTACCTGTTGCAAAAATATAGTTACAAAAATACTAACCACAAGTCAGGTGGGTCACATTTTTCAAATGAGAAACTTGTTCTAGAGGCAACAGACTTGTGAATTGAATTTTGCTCTTGAGTCAACATTGTGAGGAATCTAATCAAGTACTTGCTCACAAAATACACCAACTATTATACATCAATTTTTATTTTGGGGAAGAACATTTTCACTCCGTTTGTTGTAGCTCACAAATTAGTAGAAATATGACAGGGTATAACTGTATCATATTATGCCCTGCAGTGAAAAAGGATGAATTTACACACGGTGATTGTGCCATCTCCCATTAAACAGGAGTGGTAAAGAAAAGAATAGGCGTGCAATCGTGCTTGTCTGCGCATCGATACAAGCAAGTAAACTCTTATAACAGTTAGAAGAAAACGATCTTGTTTCAAAGCTAATCAGCAAGTATGTGCACCTATAGTAGCAAAAGTTTACAGGCGACCTGTTTTCAGCTGATAGTGAACTTTCCAACCAGATTCCATCTGTATTGAACAACTCAGACTCAGGCAGCACAAGCCAAATACTGCAAGAACTCAGGTCATAATAGCTGAAGGCTTTAAGCCTGAACATCTTGTTTACAAAGGTAGGAAAGGCAAAACTGCCGAGTCCATGTATCAAGCAATAATAAAATCATGCTGCAAAGATGTTTCGACTTCAATAGATACTTAAAAAGCAAAGGGGATCTCCAGAACATCATATCCAGTGATCATGTCTAATATGTTTACTGTACTTGGTGATCTGAAGGTTTGGAGATGCAAGAACAATGTAGAATGACGAACGCTGACGTTTCTTTTCTAGAAACAAATGATCAAGCTTCCAATTTCATGGGGTTTGGGCAATAGTAACATATTTGAAATTTTTCGGCTTTGATTAGGTAAATCTGGAAATATCAAGATAAGAATTCTGGCAGGGAGCGGTGCCGGGTCCCAGAAAGAGGCTCCGTATTGCATTTCTTATCAGCATAGATGTACTATTGCTTGGAGACAAGTTTCAGGTCGAAGTATACCTAGGTGAAACATTGAGTATATGAAGTTAGACCTTCCTTTCTAAGAGGTCAAGAATATGAGAATCACACCCATTGATAAGTGGCTTCGGGGTGAAAAGAAGGAAGCGCAAGCAACAATAAGAACAATAATAATAAGGCCAATTTTAAATTAATGCATGTTGTGATGTCATTTCAAATATGAAAAAGAGCTTCATACCTAAAATTAGCTGAAGCAAGAAGTAAATAAAGCCTGTAGTATGAAAGGGTGCGGTATACAATGATGGGGTGGACTTGTAGACAAAGAGAAAAGGACAGCCATGAAATGGAGGGCTTGGGAAAAAAAAAAGCTAAAGTGACAGCAGATATCAAACAAGCATAATGATTTACATAAATAAAAGGAAGTCACTTGGTTCATTATCCCACTGCCAGGGATTATAGCTAACCATTAGTTGGAATGTTGTTCAGTAGAAGCCAGAAATCTGTAGGTAGTAAAGGTAGATATATTGATTCGAAGTTCAAACATAGATGATAACCACATTCCAAAAAAAAGGATACTCCTGAACAAATTTAACTCTGATACCACTATAAATAAAAAATCGATAAATATGTTTATGACTATTTGCCCACTTTACGCGCCAAAACTTTCATAGATCTAGAACATTGTCAACCGAACAAATTTAACTACTGAAATGGAGTTCAAAATCAAAACTAGGAGTACATTATTTGTAATATAATAAAGAGATCAAAACTAAGACCATGCTCGACTTGAAGAAAGTCTAGATTCGTCATCCTTTCACAGTCTAATCAATGGCAGCAAGGGAAGTAAATCTAGTGAGCCAAGTCTGACTCACCACCACAGATACTCCTGAAGACAGAGAGAGCGACAGGAACAATCCCAACAAGCGCAAGCTGAAGATGATCTGAGGTGCTTGTCCTAATTGTGATCTGCCCACTGCGCTTGTTGTTCAGGCTAACACGAACTGCAACATTTGAGTTCCTTCCAATGTTCACCTGAGATTGCAAATTAGCCCCCAAAGCCAAGTCACCACGCCACTTCATCAGCGAGAGCCCCAATGTGGAAAGTGCTCGGCCAATGGGATAATCCTTCTCTCTAAGACGAGCCTCCAAATTGGCTCCATATGCCACATCACCTTGGGCTCGGATTGTACCTGTGCTAGCCACCAGAGCTACCCTCCTTCCGATCATAAGCTGGTCCTCGACCTTCAATCCAGCTGCCATGGTCTCACCTAGGAAAGTCATGGATATTCCAGCGGTCGTTTTGTTTTTCTTCATGTTCTTGAACTTGGTCTCGCCACGGAGAATGTAAGCAAGCTGCTTGCCAACAGACTGGATGTCAAAGCCAGCAAGAGAAGAACCATTCTCCCCATGCTTGGCTGAAACAGAGGAATCCAAATGAATGTTGAAATTCTTCTTGTCTTTGGTGATCTGAACAGCTACTGCTGCCGGAAACCGGTTGGCGATAGCAAGGGTCTCCTCGAGGCTAACACCATCATAGCCACAATCATGGTCCCAGCCGTGTGTATCCAATACTGGCCTCGTGAGAAGCTGTGAATTTGGCTCCAAGAGACGGTATCGATAGGTAGGAAAATCACAGTCAAAAGAAGGCGGCAACACCATATCAGGTAATGGAACCGGAACTGCTGCTGGTGCACCATCCTGATCAAAATCCTCGCCCATGTCCCCATAGGGTGACTCTTCCCTGCCGCTTTTCTCTCTCTTCTTCATCTCCTTCAACCTCCTAATCTCTTCCTTTAACTGTTTCTTCTGAAGAAGTTTAACTCGATAATCATACTCATCAAAGTAGGCTCCTTTTTGCTCCTTGGTAAGTTTGGCAAGCTGAGATTTCTTAAGAGGCTTAAAGGGAGGAAGCTGATCATACTCATCCTCCTCTTCATCTTCTGCATCAGAAAAATCATCTAGGTCTACGTCAGAATCTCCATGGTCGCCGCCCTGGTCACTGGAAAGCTTTGGATGGGTTCTGGATTGCAGTAGGGTCGACAACAAATAAGGGAGGGGTGGGGAGCGGAGACGGAATCCAAAGAGCTTTCCAGGGCTAGGATCTTGAAGTTTCAAAAGGGAATTAGCCTCAGTGAGAATCTTAGATGAATAGCACAATAGCAGCAACTGAGGCCTCCAGCTTTGACCATTGGGCAGCACCCTCTGTCCTTCTCTGTTCCTCCTACAAGCAGGATGGTTCTCAGCTAAAGCCACGGGGTTCATCAGCCTCATGTCTCCAGCCGTTTGCCGAATGGAATGTTGAACAACATGAGATCTCTGAGCTATGGACACCTCGTAGCTCAAAGGAGAACCACTGGGCCCTTCTGGTGGAGCAGAAGCAGCATGGGTGAGAGCAACTATGGCATTCAACCAAATAGAAGAACCCAATGCACTAGTAATGGACCTCAACAGAGGCAAATCATTGGAATCTCGAGTCTGGGTATCAAGCCTATCCACATAGAGAACGATATCTGGAGGGCATTTCTTAGTATACTTCTTTATGGACGATAAAATTCTTCTATTTGTTGCTTGTTCCATAGCTGAGGATCTAAGACCAGGGGTGTCTATAACTCGAAGTTTAACCCCATCCACAACACCAGAAATCTCTCTTACTGAAGTTGTTGCTGGTTGAAAAGCATTTGTATGAGACTTTTCTTCACCGAAAATTGAATTTATGGTTGCACTCTTGCCCACCCCGGTCTTCCCAAGGACTAGAATGTTACAATAGAACTTCAAATCCTCCTCACCCTCCTCTTCGATTCGCATGGCCTTTCTCTTAGCAGCCTCCGTGCTAAAAGACCGACCCATTTGTCTCCCTCTTCTTATCCCTTCAGCAAGATTTAGACGGTAGAGAACCTGAGCAGCAATAGTGTCTTCAGCAGTGTGACCCAACCTCATAATGAGTCGAAGAAACTTCACTCTAATGTCCTCAACCTTTTCATGTAGTTTTCTCTCTTCTTCACTCATTTTGTTCTCAGGTTCTGCAGTTACCACTAGCTCTGAGGGACTGAAAAGTGGAGGACGACCAGACCGTCCAGAAGCTGGCCGCAAAGCTGAGGCAGAGGAACCCAACCCAGCAGGTCGGTCCATGGAGAAAACTTGACTGCCATCTTGAGAAGTTACAGTAAAATTTCCTTCTGAAGAACCACTAGTTGCTGCCTTCAACAAAGCAGCCAATGCAGCAGAGTCAAATAGCTCTTTCTCATCACCCTCCTCATCAGTGTCTGCGTCTTCATCAGAATCCGAAACAATCTGCCCTTCCATTTGATGCCGGTAACTATTATAGCTATCAAAACTGGTGCTTGAAGAACCTCCTTCCATTTCTTTTATAAGTTGCTTTGCAGTTTCAGAGCTATCCAATATTGCAACCCTAGGTTGCTCGTCAGAAACATTGTCATCCTCCACTTCCTCTCCCGCTTGAACAAGGTTTTCATCATCATCAGCTACGTGAGGACCATCAGATTCAGGCTCTACCTTCTCACCATGAACAACGTAAACAGGCAAAGTGCTTCCAGCAGAGATTTCACAGGCAGACCCACTTTCCGTTACACTTGAATTTTCTAAAGACTGTATTTCTGTCTCCTTGCTTTTAGAATCTTCTGCGGGGGCAGGTGGAGGTTCCACATCCTGACGCAGGTCTGCATCCCCACCACCATCACGGGGTTTTGCTTCTAGATCAGTCAAAACTTGATGTGAAGTAAACACACCCTTTTCCACCTCGGTGTTCTGTCTCAGAGGAAACAGCAAATACTAATCATGATATGATTCGCAGAATCAAACTTGGTTTCAAAATTCTTAGCAATTAAAAATATAGGACATAGAGCATAAACTAACGTAGACAAATGAAATTAAGAAGGATATGATAGTGGTAATTAACAAAGAGATAGGCCTAAATGAAAACTGAATTGAAGACTGGAATTCATGTAGACGACCCAAAATTTTGTTGTTCTTGGCTTCCAAGGTTTCAAAGAGTGGCATTTATCCTATCCCGCCTCACCCATCCCCCCACTCAACCGCCCACCCCAAAAAACAAAAAGAAAAATCCCATTAACTCCAGCCCCCCCCCCCCCATGTTTGCTATACAACTCCGCAAGTAACTTTGGAGTTGGATTGCCGAAAATGCCCTTTTGACTTGTGTCTGGTTTGGGTTGGGAGAAGGGCAATTTAGTCCTACACACCCCCAAAAAGTTACTGTTTGGGAGTGTGAATAGTTGGCCTCCCCACCCCCCCCCACCCCCCACCCCACACACAAAAAAAAAAAAAAATAAAAAAAACCAAAAATAACTGTTTGTTGCATTTATCCCTCCCAATACCTATTTCTGTTAAATTGAAGGCAAAATTTCCCCTTAAGTCTCACATCTATCCTTTTGGCATCCATGACAAGGGACGTATTAACAAAAAAAATATTTTTCCTAATTATCTTGTATTCTAATATTGATTATGCTTTCTCCCACCTTCTCTCTCATTTTCTAGTTCATTAGAATTTATTTGTTTTCCCATGTTCTCAACTTGTTTATATATTTTCCTCTTCTATTTCGATTAAAAATGTTATTATGAAAAGGAGATAATTGTATTTTTAGGTCTCCATCTAAGAAGATTTAGTCTTGTGGGGAAAGTGATGAGAGAAAAAAGTAAGGGGGATAACTTCCACTCCTCGGAACCATGGGAGGGATAAATACAGTTTACCCTTGTTTCTATTGTTGCTGTTATTGTTGTAAAACTAGCACAATTACCAACAGAATTCAATTCAGATTCTTAAAACTCGAAACAGTTACCAGGTCAAGGCTTCTTTCTGCACCGGTGCCATCAACAGTTTTGTTCTTCTCAGCCTCCACATCCGTGGTCTCCTCCTCCTCAGCCTTTGACTCGATGGCAGCGTCAACAGGAATACTGGCGACTCCATTCTCTTTGGCCATAACAGTATTAGTTTCTGTTCCCGCATCCTCAGACTCCACTAACCCGTCAACAATCTGGGCCAAAGAAGAAGTCATTTCCCCTTTGCCAATAACCTCCTTATCTTTCTCCGACACAGCATCATCTAGTTCCTCCTTTTCTGCAGACTTAAGCTCCACGATGGACGTATCTACAGCATTGGTTTCAACTCCCACGGGCTTCAAAGTTTCCACTGCTTCTTCAAGATTTTGATTAGAACCAACAATGTGAAGATCAAACTCTTTCTCTGGCTCAGCAGCAGGTCTGGAATCAGTTTCCTCCTGTGATTCTTGAAGGGAACCTACTTCCTCCATCTTGGGCTTCAAGTCTGCCCCCTTCTTCTCTTCAAGAAGAGGAGCTGTTGCGGCTATTGCTTCAGATTCTCCATTTGCATCGAAGGCCTCATTTGCAGCAGAGGGCTCCCAATTCTTCACTGTTCCATCTTCAGCCTCAACCTCGTCCACCAAGGAATTCTCCTCCATTGCAGCCTCAACCTCAACCTCAACCGGCTTTGATTTCGTATCGTCCACAGCCAAATTATTCTCTGTTCCAACCTCAACCACGACAGGCTTCGAATTTGTATCGCTCACCGAATTCTTGCCGTTCTTCTCATTTTCAGCAAAACCCAAACCATTCCCCTCAACTCCATTCACAGAACCGTCAGTCTTCGACTCTCCCTCCTCTTCAAGATTTGACCCACCACTCCAAACCTCAACCCCCTCAACTCTCTCATCTTTAACCCCAACAAGATTAGGGATTTCGCTCAAACCCAATTTACGGTTTCCACCATTCTCAACCGCCGGCATGGAAATTTCCTCATTCGAGTCCTCCGACTCCGACGCCGTCCCACGATCATCGTAGACCACCGCCGGCGTCTCCGAATGGGATAAAGGATCGCCGTTTCCGTTCTCTTTGGATTGAGGGACTGAGGCGGAGGCCACCACGGATTCGGAATCCATGGTTATTAAAAACTGGGAATTGGGGATAGCGAAGTGAAGAGAGTTGAGATTTTTAGGGCTGTTGGGGGTTTAGGGTTTTGAGAGGAGGTAGGGTTTGAGATTTGGAGTGTGGCTTTGGATTGGGTTTTTAGGGGATAAGATTAGAGAGAGGGCGGAGGAGGGGAGAGCGCCACAAAGAGAAGAACAAGGAAGGGGATAGAGGCTTGGGTTATTATTATCATGATCATTTAATTTTTTTAATGACACTAGTTAGTTAAAAAATATTAAAAATTGTTGAGATACAGTTTTTTTTCCGGTAAGTTACACTAAACCCCCCAAGAACTTCAACATTGTGCAGTGAATTCCCTATTACTCTTGCAAAAAACACCCAAATAGTTTATGAGTAAATTACATAAACCCTCAAGAACTTTCAGAATGCATTTTTATGTTGTTGTTTTTTTTCCCTTCTAAGTTATGGTGTTATCTGCAAAATGCGGAAACTTATTCAGAGTTTTATGCGAAATGCAAAAGTTATTGGGTGTTCAGTACTAGTTTGAAAATTATTGGGGTTTATTACAAAATGTGAAAAAGTTCTTCGGGTTTAGTGTAATTTATCTTTTTTTAATTTGTGGCTCTAAGATAAATATAATTATTGCTTTTTTATAGAATAATTATGATCATTACCATGCAGATATTTATGTATTTAATTTTTTTAGTGTTGATGACTAAGATAACATAGTCAGTTGAATCCAGAAAAGTATTGGTTGAAGTGAGAATCGACCTTCGGATGATCTTTTGGCCACTCCTGCCTTGCAGGGGGCTCCTGGCCGGCTCGAGCATTGGCGCCACCATCGTACGCTGCGCCGGAGTCGAAAGATGGTTGGTATTTGCCGATGCTATTGAAATCGTGTGTGGAAGTTCATACAACAACCCTAGCCGATGCCTTGTAAGCTCTGGCAGCTTCCATGTCCATGTATCTGTGTGCTTTGGCCATCAATTGCTCATAGTTGGCGACTGGCCTTTTAGAGAGTGAGTCGGCCAACTCATTGTTCTGCAATCCGGCAACGAGGACGGACATGGTGACTACACTTCCTGGGTCATTGACTTTCAGCCTCTTTGTGTGGAATCTTTTGAAATAGGCTCGGAGGCTTTCTTCTGGCCCCTGTCTCATCTGAATCAACACATGAGAGGGCAATTTCTGCTTAGTGTCAGCCAAAAAGTGGTGGATGAACTTTCGGCTGAGCTGTTAAAAACTGCTGATGGATTTCTTTTCAAGAGCATTCCACTAGAGCTTGGTACTTTTGGAAAGGGTGATTGGGAAACATCGATAGATAACTGCTTCCGAAGCTTGAAGCATGTTCATTACATCATAGTAACTCTGAACATGCTCGGAGGGATCCCCCTCGCCTTTGTACTTCTCTATGTGAGGTATTTTGAACTTCACGCATGGGGCGTGCATGATATCATCGGAGAGAGGGGTATTACCCCCCGATGGCGCCAGCAACCGGTCTATACACTTGGTCGTATCTAGAGGCTCCTAAGATAGCGGAAGGAGTTAGGGAGGCACGATGATGAAAGGGAGTCTTTGAGACCACTCCCTTAGCGTGTTCCCCGAGATGGCTTGGGTCGGGACTCTCGTCGGTGGCCTCTTGATGAAGACGATGATGATGGTGACGACGAAGCGGTGGGCTCACATGTTTATCGCGGCCCTCCAATTGCTTTGCAGCATCATGAGGAGTCTGCGATGAGAGGGTTTGTTGCAGTCCAGAAGGATGGGTCTTCGACCGTCGGTCTCCAGAAGGTGGGGGGAGAGAGGCCGTCTAAGAAGTTCACGCGTAAAGGTAGTGAATTGTTCTTGAAAAGACCGAGAAAGCTTGTGAGTTGTTTCCTCAAACTGGGCTCGGGTAACATAGCTCTGGTGGTGTTCTACAGGGCGAGACTAGTCAGACCCTCGTTTAGAACCTGACATATTTTCTCAAGAAAGAAAAGTAGCCCCACGGTGGGCGCCAAACTGTTAATGACTAAGATCACATAGTTAGTTGAATCCAGAAAAGGATCGGTTTTGTTCTGTATTGAAGAGGGGCTGCTTTCTTCCCTGACTTTATATCTAGTTCTTGAATTGGGGTTTTGAACAATCTGCACATGTAGAAATTCGTGAGAGGGAGGGGATTGATTTCCCCGTCGTACCTATAACGATCAAGTTAGTTGATAAGCTTGATAGAAAAATAAGAGCTATCTGTTCTTATAATTATACAATATGTATGTCAGGAGGTCCGATTTTTGAATCATCTCTATGTTCAAATAGTACATGTACTTATACCCAGAGTATAAGAGGTTGATTGGTCACTTTGGCCGAGCACAGTGGGGCGGTGGTAAAGTGTGGGCTGGTAGTTGAGTCAGCCTTTGCTTTACAGGTGTCGGCTAGCGACTAGAGGGTTGATCACTTCGGCATTAAATGAGAAGTGATCGGCGGCATGGAAGAGCCCACGTGGTCCGATGAGTCATGAAGACTATCGAGGCTAGAAGCATAATGCTCCTGACATGTATTTAAATGCGATGTGGACATGTTGCTAGTGCAAATAGCCTCGCCAAGAAGTAATGCCTTTCGAGTCGGTCTCGTGAGGCATTGGACGAGTGGTCGAGTGGACCCTTGTCGATTCGTTCTTGACAAGAGGGTCGACTAACTCTGCCTTTCGTGTCGTCATGAGGAAATGTCGACTCGATGAGTTGGCTAAGCCGAACTCTCTGTGGGACTTGGGCGACCCAGCTGATTGGGCAAGGCATATAGAAATACATATGTTCGCTTGCCAATACACTATATTTCAGTGAGTGGGAACACCATAACATTTAGAAAACATTTTCCTCCAATGATAATATTTAGTCTATTTTGTAAAAAATTTTGTAGAATTCTGTTTATAACTTATATATTTAGATTTATTTTTATTTTCAAGAAAATTGATTATTTTTTCCTTAACGTATTGATGAACTCTCAAGTTGCTCTCTAAAGTATTGGTTTATCTATTTGCCCCTCAAACTATATTTGCAGTTGGTCACTTTGTGAGTCTACCATTAAATATTTAACAAATCAATGAGGTAAATTTTTTTGGGTATTATTTCATGTGTTTTTATCAGTTTCCCACCTTTTCCCCAAACTAGAAAAAAATTTAATAACTTTTCCCTAAAGTTTTTTATTCTTTAACTCTTTTTATGAATTAAAAATTGTACTCTTTTTATGAATTAAAATTTGTTTTTTAAATTACAAAAATATAAGAAATATAAAAAAATTTATCACATCATTAATCTGCTAAATATTTGAGTGTACACTCATAAAATTATCACATTGGCTATATACATATAGTTTAAGGGGGAAATAGACAAATTGCATCAATACTTTAAGGAGAAGATAATCATTTTGTCCTTATTGTCACTATGGCAGATAAACATCATGGGTATAATAATAATAAAAAGTTAAACCCCTTTGCTCTTAGATAGGTTCATTAGGTACACCTAGGGGCAATATGTGCAAAATTTCACCAGCAGTAAGAATGAAAAATGTTAACCAGAGGGATCTATTTGCAACAATGTAACTATCAGGGTGGTAACTGCAAAACAATGATACAAAAGGAAGTTTGTGCAATTAACCGTACGCATAAACATATGGACTAAGGGTCTTTTGGCAATTCGAAAGTAAATTAAAATAATATAGTTACTTTTTCTTTTTTTTCAAATGATTTTTACATCCACATTAGTATGAAGTGAAATATAGTGTTTATTTGAAAAATAAAATTACTATTGAAAGTGTAACGTGACGCTGATGAGGTAAAATAGGATTAATTAATTAATATATTTAAAATTATTTAATTAAAATGGTGTCCATTTTTGTTGCTTTCATGTGGCTTCAACGCTTTTTTAGAAGAAGTTAAAATTGTATTAAATCTTATGCGGCAAGTTTTTTACATATCACCTTCATAATTATTTGCATGTAAACAAATACATAAAATATTAAAAACAAGTCACTTTCTCACTTTCATTTTTCAGTTATGGGTCTGTTTGTTTGCCTAAAGAAAGTGGGAAATCAAAGAAATGGAAAACTATTTCTAAGAAGAATTGTTTTGGGAGTGTTTGATTTGCTAAAAAAAGAAGAAAATCAAAGAAATGGAGATGAGATGAGATGAGTTGTCACCTTATTATAGGATAATGTGAGTGATTTTTTAAGAAAACTTGTTTTGATGTTGTTTGGTTAGCGAAAAAAATAAGGAAATGAATTATAAGAAACATATTTCTTGTAATAGGTTGTTTTCTTTTGTTTGGTTCATTCTTAAAAATAAGAAAATAGATGAGTTGTCATTATATTATTGGATGATGTGATCCACACTTAAGGAAATTGTTTTCCTAGCTTTTTGGGAGGAAATGGATGGAAATGAAATGTTAATGAGATGAGATGAGTTGTCACCATCTTATTGGATTTTTTGGGAGGAAATGGATGGAAATGAAATGTTAATGAGATGAGATGAGTTGTCACCATCTTATTGGATGATGTGAGTGATTTAAAATATGTTAATGAGATGAGATGAGTTGTCACCATCTTATTGGATGATGTGAGTGATTTAAAATGATGAGATGGGATGAGTTGATTGATGTTGTGGATGAAAATAATATTTTATTAGATGTGGTGAATGAGTTGTTAGATAAAAATAATATTTTATTAGATGTCGTGAATGTGATGGATGAGTTGTTGGATGAAAATAATATTTTATTATATATGTTGGATGAGTTGTTAGATAAAAATAATATTTTATTAGATGTTGTGGGTGAGTTTTAGGGATGTAAATGAATGAAATTGTACTTTTTAAATTTTCTTGGTTCTTATTTCTATTTCTTGGTGTTTTAGGAAATAACCAAACAGGCCCTATATGCAAATGAACACCCCTAAGGCCCTCCTTTTTGCTTACAGGTGCATTTGAAGGATCATGGCAAATGTACGGCAGAATTAAGCCACCTCTGATTCTTGATTGTTATTTGAGGATAATGGTTGGTTACTTTCCAGTGAAGCGAAGCACAGATTGATGCCGTGACAGCATAAGCTTTTATTGCATTCTGATGGTATTTAAAACAAGTTCCAGTGTTTTAATCACATACAAAACAAGGTTCCAAAAAATACTAACAAAGGACAAGCAGCCGACGCTCATTTGCACTTCAATGCCCCCAAAGTTTCACCCCTTGTA